GAATGGTAGATGACTCATCTAGTACATTACCATTCATAAATATAGGAAGATCTAAATTATTACGATAACAATTGGCCGAATAAAATTGAGTTTTATCTGAATTAAAGTTCACCAGCCACTGTGAGCCCCATGCTGTAGCAGAAGTGAGATCCTTTTCAAGCTCAGATACCCCCTCCAAGCAATCAGAGAGTGTAGGCTTCTTATCATGACAAGAGTAAATGGTAGTGTCGTCAGCGAATAATGCCACCTTAGATGTGAGAATATCTGGAAGATCGTTAATGTAAATTAAAAAGAGTATAGGGCCAAGGATTGAACCTTGAGGAACCCCTGAAGTTACAGGATGTGAAGAAGAGTGTTGTCCATCGAGGACAACTTTTATACTACGATTGGAAAGAAAGGACTCAATAATCTTAAAGACGTTACCAGCTACACCATAAGAAGAAAGCTTATGGAGAAGACCAGCATGCCAAACTTTATCAAAAGCTTTAGAAATGTCAAGTGCGATAGCCTTAACCTCTCCACCTCTATCTAATGCACGGTAAAACCTATCGGTTATTACTGTTAGCACATCAGCTGTAGAACGAGAAGACCGAAATCCATATTGATGATCAGAAAGTTATTTGATTCAAGATGAGTAAGTTATTTGATTTAAGATGAGAGATTAAGTATTTGTTGATTAAAGATTCAAAAACCTTGCTTATGACAGGAAGAAGACTAATGGGAGGGTAGTTAGATGAATCAGATCGCTCTCCGGAATTTTTGAAAATAGGGATAACAGATGCTGCTTTCCAGCATGATGAAAAACAAGACTCTGATAAGCACTTGTTAAATAGTTTAGAAAGTATGGATGAAAGCTCCGGAGAACACCTCTGCAAGACTACAACAGGAATGTTGTCAGGACCACAAGCTGTTGAAGAGTCTAAGCAGGAAATTACTTTAGATACAGAAGCTGAAGCGATGCGAATGTCAAGCAAGGGATCAACCTGTTTGACGGCTATGTCAGGTAAAACGCAACTAGTGGAATCAAGAGATGATATTGATGAAAAGTTCTTAGCAAACAATTCAGCTTTGTCTTTAGGTGAGGTGACAAAGTCTGAACCATACAAGAGAGAAGGAATAACAGATTTGCCCTTATTATTGGTACTGTTAAAGATTCTCCAGAAGTCTCGAGAGCCTAATTTTTGTGATGAGATACGAGATTTAATGACTTGGGAATAGCGAGCTTTGGCGTCAGACAAAACCTTTTTACAATGGTTTCTGGCGATAGTAAACAGATGTCTGTTTTCTGGAGAATTGTTTTGCTGATAGATATGGAAGTAACGGTTTCGATTAGAAATTGCTGCAGCGCAATGTGAGGAAAACCAAGGAGAAGAGTGAGGCTTGACCTGGAATTGTCGAGAGGGAATAAAAGATTCCATGCCAGCCTGAATCCACGAAGTTATGTAAGAAGCACATTTGTCAGCAGGAAGACGAAAGATTTCTACCCAAGGGCCATCACGAAGAAAATCATGGAAAGAGTCCCAGTCAGCTTTAAGGTAGTTGTATGTGGTACGATGATAGGGGGATTCTGATGAAGTAGAAGAATTTGATAATAGTTTTAGAGAGATCAAACCGAGATCAGAAGTACCTAAGGGTGAATGTGGAGAAATTGAGCACTGACTAGGATCCAAAACAAGACATAAGTCGAGTAGAGAAGGTAAATGATTAGGGTTGTCTGGAAAACGAGTTGGAAAGTTGACTATTTGAGTTAGAGAATGAGAAAGGCAAAAGTTGAGGGCCTTAACGCCAGCAGAGTCACTGACACTAGAGCCAAGCCAATCGGTGTGATGGGCATTAAAGTCACCAACAACGACGATATTGGCCGATGGATAAAGAGAGAGGGCTTGGTCAATTTGATCAGAAATAACATCAAGAATAGTGCAATCTTGGGATGAAGGAGAGCGATATAGAACAAAGAGAAAGGCGATAGAGTGAAGTTGTGCTAAACGAAAGCACATAAATGAATAGTCTGTAGATTCAAACCTAGTTTCACGACAAATGGGTGAGTTCTTACGAATGTAGATGCCCAGGCCAAGCATGTGATTATTGGAGTCTTTACGAATTAAAGGAAGATAACCATCAACACTAAGATCACAAGATGGGACAGCCGAACTCAAATTAGTCTCACAAAGAGCAAGTAGGTCTGGTGAACTTTGCAAGAGATAAGACTCAACAGAAGAAAAGTTACTTCAAAGACCACGAATATTAGTAAATGATAGGTTTAAAGAACTTGGTGATGACGATGGTTTTTTGTGTTTTTTAGTTTTAGGTACTTTAGTCATTTTAAATTTATAAAGAACTTGACTCAAGTATAGATAGTACTCAGTACACTATTTAACAACTAAGCAATAGCCTCATTACTATTAATAAACCCTAAGCCATAACAAAGGGCTCCAAATGTGGCCTCTGCAATGCACACCAAAAGTACAAACAGGGACACCATCCATGCGCAACATGGCACTGTTAGTACTCTGATATTTTTTGGCTGTTGATGGAATCAGCCTCTCTGAGAGCTACCACAGAGTTCGGGAAACCTGACTACCAGCCGGCCTCAGAACCATAAAACTGAGTTTTAGAGCTGTACCCTCATTAGGAGATAATAGAATGAGTTGCCCAGTCATAAAAATAGAGACACAAGCAATACCCACGCATTGAGTCAAGAAGATCCAGCGTTCAACATCCTAAACTGGAAACAATGTATTAAAAATACATCTGCGCCAGCCTAATAGATGAGGAAGGGGTGCAAGGCTGGTCAACAGATAGAATCTGTTTACCCCTTAAGTCTTTGCCTAGGAGGCCTTCTACAAGACAGCAGCTGGATGCATGTAACATCTGCCCAAGATGAGTATTTTTATCGAGACACCATCTCTAGCCTTTACTCAACCAAGAGCCCCAAGGCAGGGGGTGTTTTAATTCGGAGTTAACTTCTCCTAGCCTTTGCCTAAAAAAGCGTATCCTACAAGGCAGCAGGACATGGAGCAGGTTGTACTGGGTTACATGTTACCAGTAGCAGGAAAACCTGACCTGACCTTGACCTTATATATATATATATATATATATATATATATATATATATATATATATATATATATATGTATGTATAAACATTATATACAGTTACTAATTATAAATATATAACATATATATTATAAATATATAAAAGTAAATAGATAATTCAACTACAAATAAAGTTTGCAATAAATTTTCAATAAAATTAAAAAAAAATTTCAAAGAAATTTTGTTTTCAAATAAATTTACATTAAATAGGTCAAAATATACATTAAATGGTTCAAAAAAATATTCAAATTAATAAATATACAACCAGTTGAAAATAATTTTTTTTAAATGTCAAATCAAATCTATAGAGATTATTTACAAAATTTTGCTCCAAATTAATGGAATGCGTTGCTAAAAAGTGGAATCAGCTCTCGTTAAACAAATCTTTTTAAAACAAGATTAGAATAATGGTATGATTACTCACATAAAACACTAAGAATAATATGTTTTTATACCTAAAGCAAAAGCATAAATTAACACATGAATGCAAAGTAAATAAAAAATACGATCTATAAATCTAGGAAATTTTTTGAGATTATCAAATTTTTTTTTTTTAACCGCTTTATTAAAGTCATCCTCCAAGGCCAACACTCTTCTTTATTTCCAGTAACTGATACTCAACTTTATATTCCTGTCTTGACAAAAAGCCTTCTCTTTTCAATCGCTTAGAACAGGCAGCCGATCTTGAATCTGTTCTCACTTCTGTAACAGATTGGGGCTCAAAAGCTTGTAAATTTTTACTCCAACAAAACTCAGTTATTTACTGCAAACAACTATGGCAGTACTGTCAACATTTCTATATTGATGAATGACAACCTTCTCACTGAGTCCTCTTCTTTATGTCTTCTTGGATTATCAGTAACTACTGACCTTTCATGGAAACCATATATACAAGTGATTGCTAAATTAGCATCTGCTAAGATTGCTTCTTTTTATCGTGCTCAGCATTTTCTCTCTCCTGATTCTATTCTCTACCTCTACAAATCTCTTATTCGCCCCTGTATGGAATACTGTTGTCATATTTGGGCTGAGTCTTCTAATGATGCTCTTTCTCCTCTAGACAAGATCCAAAAATGCATTATAAACATAGTTGGACCAAGTCTATCTGCTAAATTTGAGCCTCTTTCCCATCATTATAAAGTTTAATCTCTTTCTCTTTTTTACAAATACTATCATGGCCGCTGCTCAAAGGAACTTTAATCTCTAGTTTCATCAATTAAAACTCATTCGCGCTTGACTCATTATTTATCTAAGTCTCATTCTTTTACTGTATCTATCCTTGCATGCTCCAAAAACTTTTATTTGTCTCGCTTTTTCCTCCGCACTTCAACCCTTTGGAACTCTCTCCCATTTTTATATTTTCCTGACAAATACAACCTAAAACTTTTTAGTCTTCCGTCAACTGTTTCCTTGCTCTATAACTTTGCTCTGTAACTCTATTATTCTTTTCTAGTAACTCTCAACATAATAGTGATTGCTTGCAGCCTTGTTGGGAGTGAATCAGAATTAAAAAAAAAAAAAATTATTCACCTTGATTAAATGTTGTCTGAAAAACAATAAATTATAAATGTAAGTTATAAGTGCCTTATAAAAATAATAACACTATTATAGTGTTGTTACTTTTAAACACATTTAGTAACTATAGTGCCATTACATTTGTAATCGTAAGTTTGTTATTTTGTTTTGTTTTTATATAACTTTTTTGCTAACTAATTCACCCCATAAAAACAAAGTACACAATTTTACATAAACTAAAACTTTAAAGATATATATATATATATATATATATATTATATAACTTTAAAGATATATATATATATATATATATATATATATATATATATATATATATATATATATATATATATATATATATATATATATATATATATAATACTACTTACCTTAATTCTGCATCTAAAAGTTTATTTTCATTAATGCTTATGCATGCCTAAAAAGATAAATATCTATAATTATTCAAATTGGTCATAATAAACTTAGCAATTAATAGAAAGTAATGGGCCTCTCGCCCCAAAAGTGGGCCTCATATACTCAAAAATTAGCTCATAATGAAATGTTAGCATTACCTTTAAATACAAGTATCTGCTGTTGGTTTTTACGTCAAACATGTTTTTATCCAAACCGTCCAAAATCTAAAAATATTTTTTAATTCTAAATATTGGGGTTCAGTTGCTTACACATAATTTAGAAAGAAAATAGAAACAATGATTAGTTTTTAGAATGTTAGAATTGTTTTTATTTTAAATAGCCAAAGAAATCAATTTGCTTACTTCATTACACTTTTGTTGATTACCAAGTTGGAAATAAATATGTGCTTTTACAATTATCTGGTAATTATTGAGCTGAAGATTGCAGGTCTAGAAAATTTAACACTTATTCACAAAACATCAATGTGTTTTGAATCAATTGTGGAAAAATGTGATAATTAAATAAATATTATTTATCAACTGAGCTGTGTTTTAAGCACTAGACACTTAAACAATTTTTATATATTTATAAAAAGCTAACTACAACCCTATGTAAATATATTTTTATTATTATAATAATTTTAAATTGTTTAAATTTTATTTATTTTATTAACACCTTTTGTTCTTTTTATTATATCTATTTTTTGGGGAATAACTCACATATATCTTATCAGTGAACCATTTATAAAATCCAAATTTAAGATTAAGTAAACAAACAGTAACCTTTTCAAGAATTTCTTTAGAATAAATTTCATTGAGTGACTCTTGCTCCAGGTATAACTCTGCTTCTATTTCACTAGGAAAAAAATAATCTCAAAATTTTTTTAAATTTAATATAAAATCTAGTAGTAGTATATCAAAAATACAAAAAATCTTAACATTTCAAATCAAACGATTCTATCTTCCCAGGTGGCTAATATTCTTCCAAAAAAATCATAGTTTAAAAGAAAAATAAAAGTCTTAATGAAAGTTATTACTTTTCTGTCATTAAATTAAAACTTTAAAACAAGTTTCAGAACAAAGATACACATTATTTTTTTAAAAGTGCAATGAAGAACTTACATTGTAACATATGCACATTTGAATAAAAGTGGTTGTGTTTACTTTTAACAATGGCTGCAAAGAGAAAACTTAATTGAAAAAAAAAAAAAAAAAAAAAAAAGATCTTTAATGTTTATAGTAGTGTTAATGTTAAATGTTCACATATACAGGTATAGATTTTCTTTTAAGATGATATCTGGAGAAGCCCTGCCGATTAAAATGACTGTGCCATGAAAGGAAACAACTCTTTTCACAAATTTCTCCGTTTATAAGCTTGATTAAATTTATAATGCAAATGAACTTGGGTTGTCTTTTTATATGCAACATATTAAGTCATTTAATCTCGATTCTGAGGATTGAATAAGGTAAAACCATAGTAAAAATCATCTAGGAATGGCTGCATCAAATGTAGCAGGAGAAAAATTCATATTTATGCCATAGTGTAGTGTGCCAGTGGACAAAATGGAAAACATTTTAGTTGTTTAATCTTAAAAATGGTGACAAAAATATTTGTTTAATCTTAAAAACTTTTTTAATTTTAGTTTTTATAATAAAAAAAATTTATTGATAATTTATTTCTATTAAATCCTTTAGTTATAAGGACTCTGAGCATTTGAATATTGAAATTGGAAAAAAAAAATAATTATAATAATAAGTAATTTTGGTGACATTAACATAGTGTGATATTTCAATTACAACTGTGTTTTCAAAACACATAAATTGTATGCGTTATTTTAGAATATTCATAGAAAAGAAAGACCATAGCATGGAATAAATTTATCAAAGCAAGGTATGTCAGTTATACTTTGAAAATCACAAATTTAAAAAAAAAAAGTTTAAGAAGTTTATTTTTTGCCGCACTATAATTAATAATTGACACAATTTGCCATGTGATGTCTGATATTTATTTGAGTTAAACGAGGTTTTTTATTTGCACTTTATCTTCAGCAAACATTTAATAAAATATGATTTTATTAAATGTTTGCGGATCTTCTATTGAACTGTATTATTGAATTATTGATGGGAAAGTTCAAACAATATTATCTGGAAAAACTCATACCAACGCTGCTCAGTGTGTGGTGCCTCTCCAATAAATAAGTATAGTCTTGATATCCTTAATACAGATTATACTCATAGAGAATTCAAATATGGTCTTTCCAGTCTCCATGCATGGATTCGATTTTTTGAGTTGGTTTTGCACATTGCATATAAAAAAAGAGACAAGAAAGTGGCAAGCAAGATCTAGAGAACAAAAATAAAAGGTATCTGTAACCAAAAAAAAAATTTAGGCTGATTTTATGAACAAAATTGGACTTGTCAATTTCCCCAGAAGTGATGGTTATGGATCAAGCAACAATGGCAATACTTCAAGGCGTGCTTTTGCAGCATATAAACAAACAGTTGAAATTCTGGGTATTGATCGAAACCTTATATTCAGATTTTGAACTGTCTTGGTAACTCTCTCTTCAAGATATGGAATAGACTGCTTAAAATTAAAGAAGTATTGTTTTGGCACTGTTAGACTATGTGTCCTTTTATCTATGGTACTACATGGCTCAATCTGTGCACAAAGTATTGATGCATGGACATGACATAATTCAAAGCTTTACATACAGGACTTATGTCAGAGGAAGCTCAAGAGGCTAGAAATAAAGACTTCTTATCGCAAAAGTTTCAGGCTAAAAACATCACACCAAACAAATCATAAAACATTTCCTTTAGATGTTTTACAATTACTTAAACAATCTGAAATGATATTATTGTTATATAAACTTTCTATATAATTTAAAATTGAAAATGTTTTTTTGCACTATTTTTTGTTTTTATTAATACTAAAACATTAATTACCTAAATATTTATTAGTTATTTAAAATAAAAGGGTCAAAATCCAATAAAATTCATTTGAAAATTAATTTAACTCTTTGTAACTAAGGAAACTATCTGGTAACTAAACAATATAAGTATCCATAGCAACTGTTAAAAAAAAATTATCACTTTTATAAGAACTGCAATCACATTTTGATACTCATGCCAAATTTATAGAATATAAGACTTAGAATATAAAATCTCTGCAAATACCAAAAACAGGTTGTTGCTAAGAGAAATAAAGGTATCCATAACAACAAAATAAAAAAATAACACTTTTATAAGAAGCAAAGATATCATATTAATATTCATGCTAATTTTAGTGAACATAGCCCTAATGATAATTCAGATATGAACTTTGTCTAGTAAAAGTGAATTTTGGCCAAATGTATGTAGATAAACCAAAATCATCTTAATGCTTCAAAAGTTTAAAACAGTTACCTTACAGATACAGAAATAAAAAAAAAAGCTAGATGGATTGCATAATATTAAAAGATATTCTAAAATATTATACATATTTTAAATTATCATCATTTGATAATTAAGAAAAAAGAGAAAATACTGTCTTTGAAGAATAAGTTAACCAAAGTTCTTAGTGACCAACTTACTGAAAAAAGAACAAAAAAATTAATTTCAAAAAAGAAGAGAAAAAAAAAAAAAAAAAAAAAAAAAAACACTATATAAAACTCTTGCAAACCTCCTAATGAATCTTATGTATAAAAAAATAAATTGTTTTAATAAATGATTTTTTAATTTTTTTAAAATTTTTTATTAAAATGTTAGTAAATTGATAACAATAATAAACAAATATTTCTGATCTTTTTGTAACTTATATAGATAGTAAGTGGTGCATGGTCGCCACTCCTTCCACTAACGATATTAACTACTATAATATCATTTATAAACTGAATTGAAAAAATGACCAACCCAAGAACGATGCTCTGGACAAACACATTTTTTAATGAATTGTATTAAAGCAAATTATGCAATAAATAGAGATGAATTAAAAATAGTAGGTAAGTAATGTGCAACTGACAACATAAAAAACAAAAGCAGAAACAAAAGATGCTCAAAATCTCAGGTTTTTGAAAAAGGGCATTATAGGTAATTATAATAAACAAAAAATATATAAAATTATTCAAAATAAAGTAATAGACTTTATAATGTATACATACAATAACATTTTTTTAACAGTAACTTTTATCTCCTGGAATGAAACTTGAGATAAAGCACTATAACAATTTCCAATACTCTTTGATATTGTAGCATTCTGGTGTAACTTCTGTTGACCAATGCAAACATAGTACCATAAAAGTGGGCTGTTAATAGTATAGGCTAGAAAAAAAGTATATATAAATATGTTGTTAACAATTAAAAAGAAAAAGTATATATAAATTTTTTGTTGACAATAAGAAAAAAAAGTATATATAAAAATGTTGTTGACAATTATTATGATGACAACATTGATAATTGTTTATTGTAACAAGTAGCTTATCATTTATAAAGAAATTCAACGTAGCATGATGAAAATAATAAAAGAAAATACCAGAATCCAAAAGAAGCTTCATGGCAGCTTGAACATTTCCCCCAGCAAATTCAGTCACAGCAAAAACTAAACATTTTGTTTCAGGATTTGCCCTTTCCGCATGAAACTCAAAATTTTCGAAATTTTGCGATTTTAAATCAAATGAATTTTCTAAAAGTAAACGATAGTAAAATGTTTTGATACATGTCAAAGACATATAACATACAATTAGTAAAATTTTATCACATGTAAGAAAAAAATGCAAAGAATGCACAAAAAAAAAAAAAAAAAAAAAATCACTAGTAAAACTCAATTAGGAAACAAAATTTTACCTAAATTCTCATATAACAAAAATTTGAAGAGAAACTCAAATATTTTGGTATTGTTTGGAAACTTGTGATGAAACTTTTTTGTTTGCATTATTATATTAGATAAAGATACTTCAACATCAACTTTCTATATATATATATATAAAACAAAATGAACAAAAAATAAAAAAATACAATTATTTAGTAATTAAAACAAAAAGCAAAATAAAATATAATACTCAAATTAAGTGTATTGCAATCGCAAACTGATTACCAATAGCAATTATGCATGCATTTAGTACTATTTAAACTTTTTTTTTTGCAATTAATTTTTTTTCTTTTGATGAAATGTCATTAAGGCATCACTGTGTGCCATAAAGACCGCCAGGTTGAACTTCTCCCCACCTCTAATTTTTTTTTATATTAAATAAATGCTGCTAAAAAATGTTATTTTTGTGTATTGGATAAATCTAAAGTAGATCAGAAGTACCAAAAAAAATTAATTTTTTAACCCTATTTACCCCCTTAAAGCGATAAATTTACCCCCTATAAAAGTAACTCCTTCTACTATTATTTTAAAAATCAATATCCTTTATTATCCACTTTAAAGTATTATGATATAATCTATAACTTCGAACTTAAATCATTAGAGCCCCTTATAGTAATAATACAAAGGAAAAATAACAAGAAAAAAACAATGAATGCAATAAAAATATTAACACAACTACTTATATATTGAAATAATTACATCTTATCTATGCAAAAAGTGGCAGTGGCAGATTTTAAAATTTTACCATAATCTATATGCCCAATCATTCGTTTATATCAAGACCAACTTGGTTTAAAGGCACTGTGAAAAGCCTCTCCAGCCTGTTCAACATATGACCCAAGAGAACATGAGTTAAATTTCACAAATGGGAGAATATAACAAACCACTATATGTACTTTCCAAGTAACATATAGCTCTGCATTTAAATGTATTTTTGCATACTTTGAACTCTTCAATAACTGAAGAAACATTGCTGCCTTTTAGTACTATTTAAACTTTTTTTTTTGGCAATTAATTTTTTTTCTTTTGATGAAATGTCATTAAGGCATCACTGTGTGCCATACATATATATATATATATATATATATATATATATATATATATATATATATATATATATATATATATATATATATATATATATATATATATATATATATATATATATATATATATATTTTTAAACTTTCGTTAAAAGCAATATCGAAACTAAAAAGATCATAAATTTGTTAATAAAGTTTACTAAAAAAATAATTTAATTTATCCAACAATGCATTTATATAAAGTGATAAACATTAAGCACTTTTGTATATTTTGTAATGGGATATCAAAAATGCATTGATTTGAAATTATAAATAATAAAAAATAAATTAAGAAAAACAAAAAAAATTAATAAAAAAATATAACTATAAATAAACAAAATAGTTGAATGTAAAATGAACATAAAAAAATAACTAATATTAAATTTAATAAAAAGAATTACCTTTAACATGTTTGGATTTTTTTTTTGATTTACAAATTAAATTTGAAAGAAAAATCGTAAAACAAAGCATTTAAAATCTTAAAAAAATTTAAATTTAATTTAATAAAAGTTATTCAAATTTAATAATTTAATATTAAAAAAGGAATGAACCTGCACAACTAGACAAGTCAACTCATAACATTTTACATGGATTTAGTGTCCCAAACATTGTGGGCATGTTCTATGTGTTTTCAAATAGGTCAGATGTGCATAATCAGACAGGTCGTTGAGATAAAGTGCGATGAAAATTGTTGATTTCTGCAGAATCAGAGAAGTACTCTCCTCAATTCTATTTTTAGACATGCAAAACCAGACAGATTGTGAACAAGTATTGAACGAGTATTGACCAATTACATTGCATTATTATTAGTTTGCTAAATATAGCAACACAGTCAATGATAACAACTTTTGAAATGGTGGCGCACATTGCAAATGCTGATATTAATGAGGTGTGGAGGTATTTGAGGCCAATCAGGGGACCAGAAAACAGAAAAGTACTGGTGGAAATTGGATAAAAGCAAAATTGAGAAGGTATGCAACTTTTTTCATGATATAAAATAAATAGTAACTTACATTAATCTTGCTTACACTGATAGCCCAAATTTGCAAGATGGTTATATTTTACCATGGGCGCAATTTTAACGTAAATAATTTACATTACTATAAACTAAACATGCAGAGTGTGAGCCTTTGCAGTTTTTAGAGCCGAGAAATGGGATGCAGCAGAGAGCTATGACTAAATTGTTTGAAAAGTTGTCTTCCCACCTCCTTGGTCCCCTCTATAATTATTGCATCTATAACTTCACAGTAAATTGCTCAGGGATAATATTACTGTAACATAACCCTAATCAAACCCTAACATGACAAGCAAATCCTGATGTAACCCTAACCAAACCTTAACCTAACCCTAAGCGAACAGTAGTAGCTTACTTTAATCAAACCATCACCACTCTTAATCTCACCATAACCCTAACCTGATTATAAAAATGTTTTTATTAAATTTTATTTTATAGTACTTTATTAATATATTTTTAATTGTAGGCACCAAGTGAATGTGAATGAGAATTTGATTGATGCAACATTGACATGTAAACATAAACATGAAATCAAAAAGCGACCAAAGATAAAATCTACTCCCGAGGATCAGAATGCCAAGAAATGCTCTACTTTGGATGTTAACTTGTTCGCCATAATGATGTTTTGTCATTCCGTCATGAGCCTTTCAAAACAAATAATAAGGTGCAGCAGGAAAACCATATTCTACTAAATTTCAAAGTGAGCAGTGCCAAAAGAATTCAGACAAGATTTTGCCAAAGGGTATTTAACAAGTCTTACTTGACTAATTATTTGATTAAAACAAATCGTGTTTGTGAAAGTACTTTTCTAAAAATCATTCATCCAATCGTTACAAACCATCTGAATAGTGTGATTAAAAGTCATGTTGAAAATCATGAGCCACTGAAGGCCATGGTGGGGAATGTATAGGTGACAAAAACGAATCTCAAAAAATAAGTGTTCGCTAATTTATTTTCAAAAAACTTTTTTTGTTCGCCTGCTTGTGATACCTGTACAACTTGTGACAGCCTTAGAAATCAGCTATGAGTATGCTCAACAAAAGATAAAGTTGTTCTTCTAATGCAACTGAGATTGCACAAATTACGAGCAAAAAAATTTATGCATCACTTAAGAATATACCAGAAAAGACATACAGTATCATGTTTGATTTGCAGCAAGTTCAATCCTTGCCATGCATGACGTGTCAGGAAGCATTTTATTCTCGTCAGTTGTTGTTATACAATTTTGGGTTACATGATCAGGTATCTCTTAAGAATTATTCATATACGCAGATGGAAAATGAAGCATCTCGTGGTTCAAAAAAAATTTCTAGCGCTGTTTTCCATTATTTGAAAAACATTGTTAAGGAAAATGAATCATTGAAAGTACGATTAAGACTGTTCGCTTGTTGAGTGATGACTGTGGAGGGCAGAACAAAAACAACATAGTGGTTAGTATGGCTGTATCATGGCTTGCAGAAGTACCAACAAACATTGATTACATTGAACTTCTCCTTCCAGTACGTGGGCACTCATTCCTTCCTTGTGATCGCTTATTTAGAAGAGCTGAGGAGTTGAAAACCAACACCTAAAAGATTTAATGAAATATTTAGCCACCATTGTGACAAGGTTTTCCATATTGAAACCTGGTTTTGTGACGACTGGTTTTGTGATGATTGGAAGACAGCAACAAGTGCAATCTACAAACTGGTGAAAAACATGCAAGAAGGAAAAATAATTATTGCAACAAGAACATACAGTGGAAACAAAATGCCTGTTTTTAATATTCAATGTGAGTCCAGCGACAAATGTGGCGTGGACACTCCAGTCAATTTCTTAATGAAAGGGAAAAAACATTTAAACATCATGGTTAATCGTTTGCCATCATCCAGACCAATCAACCCTAATAAGTTGAAGGATATTTATAAACTTCTTTATGTAGCTTACAGTGCAAAATGGAAATATCTTCCAGGTGTCGAAGTATATCTAAATTTAGAAACATCTATCAATGCAGTCGATGATACAAAGCCAGGAAAAGAGTGTGACTGTGCGAATAATGACATTGCATTTCAGATATAAATAGTAATAGGTGTTAAAATGGGCAGTTTGGTGAGGGATCTGTATTAATAATGGACATTTTCAACTTTGATTTTTCATAGTTATATTATTTTTAGAATTATAAAACAAATTGTTTTATTATCACAAATTTCTGATGTTATTGATGGACAATATTCCAGACATGGAAATTTTAAAAACTGATTTTTTGGAAAAGGTTACTATAAAGTTACTATTTTTATCATAATTTTCCTTTTTGGAAATAAAAAAAAAATGATACAATATGAAAGATTACTTTAAGTGTTGATTTGGCTTTCATTTTGATTGAAAGATAAAAATAAATGGTTATTTTGGACCAAAGTAACTTTAGAAAATAGCCGATAAGCATGCAAAAGCAGATAAGTCCCAAAATATAAATTCTGTGGACAGGGAACAAGTCCACCAATATGTGTAAATTTTCTACTGTGTAGTGAGGTCTAATAATACATAAGAATAATACAATCAATCATAATTCAGATCTTCTCTGAAATCATGTTTTTTATTTTTCTCATTTTCCCATAATTTTTTCAGAGTAAACTTGTTTGGTTTTGCAGGTTCACTCCTCAAATATAACTTGAACACTTGGTGTAGTTAAGGTGATGTATAAATTATTTGAATTCTTTTATTTGGAATTAGCAATTGTATTATAAACATAATAAGTAAAATTCTTTTATTTGGAATTTGATTTTATCAGCATATTATATCCAAACAAGAGGTTTAGATGAACTTTTTTTGCTTCATGTTTTTTTAATATTTAAAAGAAACTTTTCCTTTTTTTTAAATTAATTTTCAAAACCTTTTTACTACCCCTAATAGTAAATATAAAGAACATCATTTTTACTTATTGGCATTAACATGAACCTAGTTAAAATCTTTTGAAAAAGTGCCTTAACCTACTGTAGGTCCTAGTTCTAATCGGTTCTGACAATTATTAATTATATATAATTGTCAGAATACAATATTTTTATCAATTTTCTCTAAAATTACTAGAATTACGACCAATTTAGAGCTTATAATGAAAAAAAACTGCTATTAAACGATCAGAACAGATCAAATTTTTAAACTATGATGTTCATTTCACCTAAATAACATATTTATTTAAAATCTTATTCAAATTTGGCCAAGCAAGAGTGATTTTAAGAAGATTTATTTAAAAAAAAAAGAATCTCTAGTCTAGATTATTTCGCTACAAACATTTTTATTTTTTGATACCACAAAATTTATCATTATAATTTTTTTCGTCTTTTCATAATTCACAGACCTGATCATTTAATGGAAATATGTTGTAGTCAACATAATATCATACAGATGCTATAATATTTTTAAAATGCCTTAACTACACCAAGGGGGATGCAGTTTCAAATATTTACATCTGTTCAACGTTTTTTTAAATTAAAAGTAACAAAAGCTTGAACTACACCGAGTATAATAGAATAAATTCAAAGTAAAAATTTTTTAAAAGTGAAAAGTAGAAAAAAATTTAACTAATCTGTTTTTTTTACCAAAAAAAATTATTTCACAATTGCGGTGTAAATGATTTTAGAACATTAAATCGCTGCTTGATGTTTTCTGCATAAACTACTTTAAAAGACTGTCTAAATAATCTAATTGAAAAAAAAGCTTTGCCATAACATAAATAGCTTAACGCGTAGGTGAAATTGCGGATTCGTACATAAAAATTCTCAAGAGTAATGTTTCTTAAAAATGCTTATACATACATATATATATATATATATATATATATATATATATATATATATTATGCATGATGTATATATATATATATATATATATATATATATATATATATATATATATATATATATATATATATACATACATTCATATTAATACAATTCATATAAATGAATTTTTAAAACACTTACAGTTAAAAAATCCAAATAATTTGCACAAGTATTTTCCATTACATCTACTGGAATATCAGATAGTTCAAATAGATGTTGGTAAGCATTCATAATCTGAAAAACAGAACAGCTAAAATATTCATACAATTAAAAGTTAATTACATAACTAACAATTACACAAATACATAATATCTCACAACTACATAATTAACATAAAAATAAAAATGTCTTTTACGTAAAATATGTAAACAAGATAACTAAACCAAATAACTAAATAGAGAAAAAAGAAAACAAAATAACTAAATAAAGAAAAAATAACTAAATAAAGAATGGTAATATAAAAAAGGAAAAACTGAAAAGTGAAAATTTTGCTATGATGTAAATAAATACTTAACTTAATTTTATCAGGTTTCATATTTCAGATATTTATAGCTTCAGGTCAGGTTAGGTTGTGATCAGGGACATCATGATCCTTCTGCTACTAATAACATATTCAATACAACTTGCAACATGTCCTGCTGCTCTATGCTTTTCTATGCAAAAATGTACAGGTTTTTGCATGAGCATCTTCAGAAGCAGCTATGCAATACTTGGCTATCCCCCAATGAGGATAAAGATCTTTAATGATCTACCATAACTACTTTGTAAAACTAATTTAAACTTGTTTTTTACTACTACCTTAAAACGGATTGAGATTCTGACAAGATTTTTTGTGTGATGACTTTTTTGTGACAACCCTTAAGCTAATGTAGTTAAAAACAAATCTCTTGAGAAGAAATGCCTTTTAACTTTTGAAAAATAATTAATACAAAAAGATATTGCCTAACATAAAACCATCAAATTACTAAATCTTAAACTTTATTTGAGAAGTTTAGTTAAGAGACTTTTGGAATATCTTTAACCAAAATGAAAACAACCCATTATCACATTCTTACAGAAGTGTTCTCCAGAGTTTTCTCCAAAATTTCTTCAATTAATGTAGTAGTAGTCTTCAATTAATGTGGTAGTAGTGTTCAATTAATGTGGTAGTAGTGTTCAATTAATGTGGTAGTAGTGTTCAATTAATGTGGTAGAAGTGTTCAATTAATGTGGTAGTAGTCTTCAATTAATGTGGTAGTAGTCTTCAATTAATATGGTAGTAGTCTTCAATTCATGTGGTAGTAGTCTTCAATTAATGTGGTAGTAGTCTTCAATTAATGTGGTAGTAGACTAGTGGTAGAACTTTCAGATCACGAGAAGTTCAAGATTCAAATCAATGTCTAATATCTAGGCCTCTGATAGTACTAATTTCAGCCTATTTCTCTCCACAGTGACCTTGTTTAACAAGATTTATGTTTCAGGTTATAGAGTTGAGAAAGTTCCAAAATAAAAAAAATATCCTCCCCAACTACAATGGCCAAAAACAATCAAATTTTATAATTATTAGACTAAGAACACTCTGATCCCTCTATCTATTGTCTTATAGTAGGTTCTCTGATTTTTTAATTTATGAGTTTTTACAAACTTATAATATCTCATTTGTCTAACAACTTTTCTTGAACAATTTTGGTCCACTCATTTTACTGATGATTTGTTAACCAATAAACATAACCATGAACAGAAAAGTTTAATTGTACATTAGATGGAAGTTATTACTCATGACATATCAGAGGCTTTTGATATAGTTAGATATGCTGATCATCTTTATAAGCTCTCTTCATAAGTATCGAAGTTTTTCAAATTACTAAAGCATTCCAATTGTTAAAATTCTGTCCTTAATGACATTCTGCTTTTCTTTAAGTAACATTTGGGATACCATAAGATTTCATACTTTGTCATGTATTGTTTTTCATCTTTATTAATAACCCTCCTGATAATTTTAGATCTGAAGAGGCTCTATTAGCTTATGATACACACCGGTCTTGATAAAACAATTTATACTAAATATCACAAATATCACTTAGAACAAGTAGCTGATCTTAAACCTCTATTTTGTGACAGCAAAACCTAAGATTTAGGATTGGTCTGGTGAATTTTAAACCAAACAAAATAGCAATTCACTGCTAATTATCAACACAGTAACTATTAGCTACAAATAATTAGAATGTTTTTCTAAGATGCAAAATGATAAATTTTCATATGAAAAATGATAAATTTTCATATGAAAATACTTACCAATAACAAGTACTTTTTTTCTTTCTCAAATTATTAGTGAAAAATAATTTTATTTGCAAATATGTGTCTAAAATATCATTAATTAGATATTTTCGTCAGTACTAGATCCAAATATTGAAAAATTTTAGAAAAAAAAAATTCAGTTAAGCACCTATTAAATAGTTCTGACAGTTTTAAAGAGAGTTCTTTTGAGCAGGATTGTTGTCAGGACCACAAGCAGTAGATAAGTTAAAGAAAGAAACAACTTTAGCAACAGAAGCAGGAGCGATTTAGATGTCTATCAATGAATTAACCTATTTCTCTGGAATGACAAAAAGAGTGAGGCCATTAGATTTAAGAGTGTAGTTAGAGGTAAAGCTCTTTGCAAATAGTTTCGCCTTATCCTAGGGAGTTATAAAATCTATAAAAATAAAATCCTGATTCATGTATTAGAGATGGAATCTTTGGCCTTTGTTAATGATACTGTTAAAGATTTTCTAAAAGTCTCAAGAACTTAACTTCTGTAATAAAATAAGAGATTTAGGCAACTATTTATAACATGATATTGAATATAAGAAACAAAAAATTTTAAATTCTTTTTTTTTAGTAGCTTTCACACATTTTATTCAATAATGGAGAGACTTATGTTTTAACAACTTAATGTAATGAATTAGCAAATTAATGTAATAATATATTAATACTTTTAACATATTAATATATTATTACATATCAATATATTATTACAATTAGAAACAGCAGCTGCAAAAGAAGGTGAAAAACGCTTGAAGTCAATAAGAGGAAACAAAAGCATATATATATATATATATATATATATATATATATATATATATATATATATATATATATATATATATATATATATATATATATATATATATATATATATATATTTCAACAATAAATTAATAATAGTTACACTACTTGCATAATGTTGGTAATTTTTCAAAAATTTGAAATTACCTCTAGAGGTTATAAATAACAATTTAAATTTAAAACTTCAAAATAACTAATTTAAAAAGTAGTTGGTTTTATAGAGTTAAATAATTAGCATTATCAGAAAAACAACTTTTCAAAATTTAAGAAAAACTGGGTATTGCATGTTTGTTAAAAATAGTTATTGTCTGTATGTTAAAATTTTATATGCTTATAAAAAATATGACAGCTTTTTTTTTAATTTTTATTTAAAAAACATCAGCAAAAGATAAATCAACAGTGATGCAATACATATGCAAAAGTTGTTGTTTTTGGTAAACGTATAAAAAAATTGGAAAAAAAAATTCTAAACTCAAAATAAAAAAGAGTAATAATTCTTAACTCAAAATAAAATTCTTAAATAAACTTAAAGGAAAAACAAACTTCATGTTTCAAGCCTATACTGCAATCAATATATTTTAGTTCATTCTAGCCATGTCTACTATATGATGGATAATACACTCCGTTATACACATGTTGCTTCATTTTAGCTGCCATATTGAAAAGTCTCCACAATCAAACTAAAGTTCTTTATCAAAAATTTTAACTTAAAAAAATTTTTTTCCTTACTAATCAAGATGCATTAGTAAAGTCAGGTTTTTTCAGGTTCAAATTGGCATACTGTTCAAATATAAGACACGGCCAAATCAGAAAATATAAACAAAATTAAATCTGGTACAACTAAACTTTCAGCATCAAAGTTGCAATAAAAATAATCAGTTATTTTCTTACCATGGTTGATCTGCATTTTACAATGAGTCACAAACTATGCAAAATAATTAATAAAAACAATAGAATCAATAAAGTGAAACAATTAAGAAGCAACATGCCTAACATTAAATTCATCAAAAATTTGCATTATTACAATAAATTATATAACTATTGAGCAAACTTTGCTTAATATTGAAAAATATTGCTCAATATGAAAAATCTATTGCTCAGTATGAAAAATCTATATCAGAAAACACCAAGACAAACCTGAAACTTCAAACCTGAAAAATCAAATAAGATCTATAAAATAATTAAATGGAAACCTTACAACTGATCAAAGCCATGTAGCTACAATGCTTAACAGATTCTTTTCATCTGTTTTAACCTTTAAGTTTAAGTCAATCACTGCCAGCATTCAAGAAACGCACATTTGCTGTGATTGATGAGATGTTGGTCTAGAATAGACTTAGTGAGAACTACAAACAATCGATACTCTTTTGACACACTCCTCATAATCTTTCGCTTCACAAACTTTCTGGTTATATCTCTTATATGCTTCTTAATTGGATAAATTCTAACAGAATGCAATGAGTTGTCATGGGTTCTTCTAGTTCAGATTGGTTACCAGTCACCAGTGGTGTCCCACAAGGATCTGTTCTATGACTTCTTCTATTCATCTTATACATCAATGACATTACAGATCTTATTAGCAATACAATGAAGTTATACACCAACAATAGCAAAGTTATTTTCACCAACTTGACAGCTGAGAGCCCAGCTCCAGAAGGATATAAATTACATCATGTCTTGGACTCTAACCTGGCGCTTACGCCTTAACTACAAAAAGTGCCTTATCGTACGTTTTAACAAAAGTAAAAATCCTAATCACCAATACTATATCTTGACTCAGCAAAGTATGCAGTTCCTCAACTCCTCTTACAATGAAAGAGATCTTGGCATTTGCATTTCACACAACCTCAAATGGGACACTCACATTGAAATAATATCATCTAAAGCTAACTCTGTTCTCAGTCAATTAAAGAAATCTTTTATCTATAAAAACGCTCATGTTTGGAAGAGACTATACACATCCCTTGTCAGACCTCACCTCAAGTATGCTGCTCCTGTATGGAACTCTCTTTCTGCACGCAACGTAAAAAAACTTGAAAAAGCCCAAAATCGCTCCACCAAAGCAATTCCCTCTCTAAGAGCGTTATCAAGCCAGATAAACATTTCTTCACCTCACCTCACTAAATGAAAGACGCATTTGATTTAATCTACAACTTTAAATTTATTAATAACTTAGAAAATGCTTATAGGCTTAACCCACAAATAGGTAATCCTGTCTGAATAACCCGAGGACACTCTCTAAGTCTCTTCAAAGAGTTTTTTAGTGCTTCAGACTTCAACAACAACATGCAAGCTATCTCTACTAGGCTTAATTTCTTTCCTAACAGAGTAGTCAACCGATGGAATTTACTCCCACAAATTGCAATTGGACAAACATTCTGGCCTGATAATTATAAATAAAGAAAAACATTTCATGGCTGATGATTGCTGTATAGGCATGAAGCATTAAGTTCCCTAAAAAAAAAGTTAAAAATAATGAAGAAAGTCAGAGTAGAAAAAAAAAAAAAAAATGCAAAAAAAAAAAAGAAGCAATATAAAACAATAACCAGCCATAAAACATATATATATACAAAAAAAGAAGCAATATAAAACAATAACCAGCCATAAAACATTACAAAGCATAACTACCTCACTAATATAGTTCTTGGAAAATCCAGTTGCTAACCCCTAGATGAAAACATTGTTTTATGTACAAAAGTTTTAAAATTTCATTTTTATATTATTTTTAATTAATAAGCATGAAAAAAATAATTATTTAAGGTCATGTATTCCCCTTCATTGATTTTAAGAAGATTTTCAACTTTAAAACTTTGAAACCATAACATATTTATATTTTCATTAATTAGGTGGAAAATTTATAATATTATTAATGATTTCTACACATTTGAAAAACCACATTTTTTAAATGTTATTTTTTGTTAGTTAAAGTATGTTACTTCACTTACTGTGATTTACCTTAAATGATTCTTCACCTACTGTAAATGAAAAAATCCTATATTTTAATTTTAACTTCATTTATTTAATGCAAGTAAAAATGCACAAATTTAATATGATTACTAGATAAGGAAACAAGGGCTTTTTAATTTAAAAAAATTAAACATAGAAACATTTAAGTAAGTGCTAACTAACATAATTTTCATAATTGCCTACTGTATTAAAGATTATACAATATTATACAAAATGTACAATTTTTCAATAAAAGTTAAAAAATCTAATGTTTTTACAAATTTTTTACACCATTATCAAATTTTAATTTTTGGTAATCAAAAAATTACATGAATTTTTTTTACTGTAAAGGTGTTTCTTAAGAAAGCAATGATTATTCTTAGGATAGAAGACATTTCGAAACTTTAAAATTAAATCTTTTTAAAATCATATTTTTAATGAGATAAATTTATTTTGTATAAAACAATACAAAATATATACATTTAAAAATAAGAACATTAAAAATTTACTTTTTAATTAAAAACTTATATTTGCAGAAATCATGGTAGGGGCTTCTTTATTGAAAGAGAAGACATGACTCTATAAAAATAAAATAAAATTTTTTGAACAAAAGCAAATTTGGATATAATTACTATATCACTAATAATTTTAATTATGTTATGCCAATACGCCACAACATCATTCACATTTGAACATTTTTGAACTATCTTTTTGATCCATTCAACAGCCTTAAAAATAAAAAATAATAACAAATATTAAATTATAAATAATAACAACAAAATTTAAACTTAATGATTAGCAATAGATATATCTAACAAAAAAGATTTTGAACTTAGACGTTATTCTTAAACCAGAACTTTTATCTAAATTTCTGAAGAGTATATCTCATTTGTTATAATATGGTTGAAACTTTTATCTCTTTTATTCAATTTTTTTTCCATTAAAATATTTTGATTAAAAAACCTTGTTAAAAAACTAAATAAAAATATTTCAAACCCCAACCTCAATTTAAACCTCAGACTTTATGAATTTAAATATTCATTTTTGTTGAGGTCAATTGATTAAGACAGATTAACTCTAACACTCAGGGCTTGACAAATTAGCGAATGTTTAGCATAGATTTGACAGAAAACAAAATCTTAAGTTTGCCAACTTTTTTTAATTCAAATGTTGAAGTTCATTTAAAAATTTAAAAAGTAAAGGAGACATTTCACTATTTTTGTTATCAAGTTTACTATGGAATATTTATTTTTCACTAAAGTAACATTATTTTTTGTTTGAAAAGATACGTAAAGAAATCAACAAAAATAATTAGCAGTCTTCACAAACATGCATAACAATTATTTGAATTAAATTTTTTTTTCGCTTGATTTAGCAGACTTCTTACCTTTGACTAAGATATTCACAGAGTTTCACACCACATTTCAAACTTAATCATCTCATTTTTACATTGTATCTTTCAATTTTGACATAGTATTAATACATTTCAACACTGTTGCATTCAATTTTGTAATGCATCACATATCAAAAATTTAAAACACTATATTTTGAATAAAAATGTACATGTTGATAATAAAATTTTTGTTATAATACAATGGGTTGCATTAATTCAGGCAAATAAAATAATTAATATAGCTATTTTTTTAATTCTAATATATTTAAAGTGGGTATTGGAAATATGAAACTGATTTAACAAATAGTTTTTTGGATATACATAAAATACATGTGTGAAAAAAATCATGTAGATTTTATTTTAAGTTAACATAACTCTTTTTAAATGCCATATTAACTATTTTTATTAACCAGATTAAATAGTGCTAATTGCCAATATATATATATATATATATATATATATATATATATATATATATATATATATATATATATATATATATATATATATATATATATATATATATATATATATATATATATATATATATATATATATACATATATATATACATATATATATATATATATCCCAATAATAATAAATTGTCATCAAACTATAAGTTATTATGTAAATAAAACTATAAATTTTCATCTAGAAAACAAAAATATTACGACAATACAATCAGAGTTCATAGTAAAAACTTAAATATCTTTTTCATTATTTATAAACAGCAATGCCAAATAAAACAATCAACAATGAAAGTCATTCAGGGATAATTGAATCTTACTTGAATGAAAAGTGGCCATAATAATTTGCGAATGTTCTTGGTTAAATCTAAGAATATTCGCAAATAATGAATAATTAAAAACTTCAATCTATTAAATTATTGAAAAATAAAAAAATGATTTGCTGATAGAATGGCAAATATAAGGTGGTTTTAAAAACATAAGATCAAATGAAGAATTCAAGACATTCATTTAAAATTTTTATAACGATGATTATGGAATAACTCTTGATGAAACTAAACAAAGACATTAAGACAAAAAAAAGAAATAAAAATCCAATTCAGTTAGTCATTCTACTATAGTAAGATGCATTGATGGTTTTAATTATATCAAGATGCACAGTTAAACTATACTTTTAAACTTGTTCACAATATTCCAGGAAAAAAAATTCTGAAGACGTTATAGATGAAAGAGCTATTTATGCAGAAAGATTCATAAACATTTTGTCTTCTATGAATAACGCTAAAATATAATTTATTATTGAATTAGTCTTTCAATGACAAATAGGAGAAGGTATTTTTCAGGTGGAAAAAGGGCAATTTAAACAGTGACCAATATATGTTCAAAAAATATTTCCATCTGTTGGACAATGAAAAAAAATGTTATTTTGAAATATGAAGCACAAACAAAAGCTTTTCATTATTTACTTCTCTAGTATTAACACAATTAGCTGTTAACGAAGTTGTTGGAGCTATTTTAATTTTAGATAATGTTCGGTTCTATAATGCTGCTGTTAATAAAGATGAAATAGTATGTGCTGGGTATATATAGTATTATGCTGTACAAAAACTGCAACAACTATTTTAGGCACATGCTCAGGTTTATGATTCCCTATTCTAGTAAAAAACCAACAAATGATGAATAAACTTTTATTTGTATTTGTTATTTTTCGATAAATGATTATTTACAATTACAATATTTTTAACTTGATAATTTTTGGTTTAAAGTTTAGTTTGCAAACTTAAGATTTATATTATTGTAAACAATTTAATCTGTTTTATTTTATATTAAATAAAGTATTCTTAGAATTGTCAAAATCAAATGTAATAGTGTCAAAATTGAATGCAACACAGTCCAACAGTCTAAATGTACTGATACAATGTTAAAATTAAATGATACAATTTTCTAATAAGGTGGTAAACTCTTAAGTGTTCACAATAGAAGTACAATGTTTTTTTCAAGTGTGACTTTTTTTTCTATTAATACTTTAATTCTTCTAACTAAGTTGATTTTTAAAATAAATACTGAAGAATGAGTTTTCAATAAAAATTTTACATAAATTATTCTTTTTTTCTTATAAATAATTTTCATATTACATTATGCAAAATAATGATCAATATGCTTTTTTTTCTTTTATACAGAATTAAAATAAAACATTTATTTTTCCGTTTTTATTTTCATTATTTTATTTAGAAATTAAATTACATCCTGCACACCAGCCTAAAAATGCTTGCAGTAAATTACAAACAGGACTGTAGATGTTTGCCAATAAATCGTGTTGAATGTCAACATTTCAAATAATAAAGATTTTTTGAGCCCTAAACATCTAATATATTTTCTTTATAAACATAGATACTTATTCAAAAACTGAGCTGGTAGTTATTAGTAAATAAAAAAATATTACTAATTACTACCTTGATACCACAATAAAAATAAAATGCATTATTGCATTTTATTTATTAGTTTAAATAATTGCATAAAAGAAAAATATAAGACAAGATTTCAATTTAACATTAGTGATAAGTTTTACTTTAATTAATTTAAAGCAGTAATCATGAGAAACTAGATATGATTTAGTTTTATTAAACACTTATTTATTAATACTTATTTTATTTATTAACTTGCAATTGGTTCTACAATTACTTAAAAAAAGGAAAAAAACTAATATTGAAGAATTTGAAGCTGTTGTTAAATTAACAAATCAAAATGAAGAGTAAAAAATAATTTGAAATTTATACTGATGAACTATTTTACCTCTTCCAACCTATTTAAATCTTTCAAAACATCACAAAGTTTGCAACATGTTTCAATCCACTTTTGATTTTCACTATAAATATATATACATTATTATATGAATAAATTACATAATATATATATATATATATATATATATATATATATATATATATATATATATATATATATATATATATATATATATATATATATATATATATATATATATATATATATTGGTGGTCCTTGAAACAACTTTTTTTATAAATGTCTGCTTAACCACTCAAAATGTGTACTATATAATTTTATAAAACTATACAGTTTGAAAATTTTGGACCCTAATACCAAAACAACTCCTATGAAAACCCTTTTGAGGGGTGTTAGTACATATGATAGGGATCTCATAACAAGTAATTTTGAAATCAGGAATTATCGTCCACAAGACTTATTTGACTTTATTAGTTTTATCTTAATGAAACCTTGTGACTTATACTGAAAAATTTTTATGACACAAGTTTACACAACTTTCTAAATATAACAAGTATCAAAAGGTTAAGAAAGTGTTACTTGATGGTATTTGGTTTATTTTAAAACACCAGTGTGATTTTTTAAAATTCTTATCACCAAAATAATGTCAACAAAATTACGGCGATTGTTTTCCGGGAAAGGGCTGCATAAATATCATAGTTTGATCTGCAAAATTGGGAGGCTCAAAGGTAAAGAAACTCACCCACTTGAGCAAAAAGACCAGCCTGCAACAACCAGTCAGCCACCTAAAAGTTCAGAAAAACGTTGTACAAAATGTTTATCTGTTCTCTCACGAGGCTTTTCTCATCATTGCACAATTGGTTCACACCATAAAAACTTGAAGCAACTGGCATTGTCAGATCCTAAAGGAGCTGAACAAGTTGCATCTTCCATTGTTACATCCAAGGAAGCATCTTCTGGAGGAACAATTTGACTGGGTCGAATTGTTCCTCCAGAAGATCGAGTGGGATGCATACAGAAAATTGAGTGGGATGAAAATCGAGTGGGATGCATCCAGAAAATCGAGTGGGATGCATCTTTCAGTCAGAAAAGGTAAAATGTATACTTACCACATTCTTCTTTAGAAAATGCTAATAGATTTCGTTTTTTTAGATGGTGTTGTTGCTCAAGAGCTTTTTCCTTCCAGACTTTTAACAGGGGATATGGTTCAAATTCAACAGAATACAGGATTGTCTAACAACGGAATGAGGAAACTTGGATCGTTCACCAATCATATCAGCCCAACAAGATTAGTTGAACCCAACTTTCAAAAAAAGTTTGCTGAGTCTGGACAAAAATTGCAGGACTTTTTTACTGTCAGCAGCTTGAAGATTTCGGATTCTGGAGAAAACAGGGTTGTGGTTCATTGCAAAAGCATTAAGGACTTAAAAGACAGGATTGAAGAAGAAACTGGCTCCTCTAAGACTGCCTTTGCAAAGATAGGTATTGATGGAGGAGGGTCATTCTTAAAAGTGAGCATTAGAGTTATTGATGAGGAAGAAAACAACCTAGAGCCCCACAGTCCTGTCCAAAAATCTGCCAAACTCACGACACAAGTCTCAAAGCAAACTAGTGTGAAAAAGCAATTTCTTGTGGCTGTTGCTGATGACACTCCTGAAAATTATTGGAATATGCAAGAGATTTTTGTTGCTGTTGGTGTGATATTGAGTCTTCAAAGCTTCTTCTGTGTGGGAATCCCGATCCTTTGGAGCTATAAAAGATCAACATCAAAACTTTGTGGGTAGTGCCGTAGATGTAAGAAGATCCAAGGAGTTCCAAAATGCTGTCCACAGTCCTTTAATCTTTGGTCCTTATCAAGCACTGATTTTGGAGTTCATCCCACCTATGGAGCTTCATCTTCTGCTAGGGGTGGTCAACCATCTGTTCAAATGCATAGTGCAAAAATGGCCAAAGGCCACAGAATGGCCAACTTCATTGCACATCAAGATTCAGCCTTTTCATGGAGGGCACTTCAATGTCAATGACTGAATGAAGGATCTGAGGAAAATTGACAAATTGGCTGAAATGGCTGAAAATGAGAGCACTTCTGAGCCATCTCAATTCATTCAGACATTCAAAGACTTTCACGAAGTTGTCTCTGCATGCTTTGGAAAAACTTTACATCCCAACTATGAGGAAAAAACACCATCTTTAAAAACAGTTACATGAGTTTGGGAATCTCTGTTACTCAAAAGGTTCACACTGTTTTCCACCATGTGACATAGTTCATCAAGCTGAAAAAGAAAAGCCTTAGTCTATACAGTGAACAAGCCACTAAAGCACTGCATTCGGATTTTGGCAAGCATTGGGAGCAATACAAAAGATGGAACACCCATCCAGACTACTCCAGTCAACTCCTGAAGTGTGTCATTGATTATAACAGCAAGAAAATGTAGAGTAGCTTGCTATGAGGCACTGACCATCAATGAACATGTTGCATTTTTGAAAATTTATTAGTTCATCTTTAGAATGTATTTATTTTGTAATAAATAAATGTTTTAAGATGTATTTTTATCATTTGTTACCTTTTTACTTCATAACATGATAATTTAGGGCAGCCAAATATTTTTGGAGGAATTTTGCAATTTTTCAAGTTTCGTAATTTAAAAGCAAAAACTTTAATGTTGAATAAGTCTTGTGGACGGTAATCCCAGATTTCAAAATTACTTGTTATGAGATCCCTATGATATGTACTAACACCCCTCAAAAGGGTTTTCATAGGAGTTGTTTTTGGTATTCAAAATCCAAAATTTTTAAACTGTGACTAGAATTAAAAAATTGAAAAAAAAAAATTTTTAGGGGTAGCTCAAGACCCTTTAATATCATACAGGATAATTCTCAAAAAGTAGTTATTCAAAAGTATATTGTGTTGGGTCTCAAAAGAAGCAAAATTATATAAAAACTTCATAAATAATTATCATTTTATAAAAAACATTAAGAAAAAAAAATTATAATTTTTTTTAGAAAAATTCATATTTTTAGTTTTTGGTTTAAAATTGTCATTTTTTAGCCAGTGAAATCTATAATATTTTTTTTATAAAATGATTAATTTTGAAGTTTTTATATAATTTTGCTTCTTTTGAGACCCAACAAAATATAATTTAGAAGAACTATTTTTTGTATAATTATAGGCAGTGGCTTAGCTACCTAGGTGCTATGCAGGGCAGTGCCCCGGGACCCTCAAGCTCAGGGGGCTCTAGAATCCTTACCAGAAATCTGTGTAGGAAAATTGTGTCAATCGCTTTAAAATAGCATTTTTGATTCTTTTGCGAAAACTAAAGCTAGGAAAAAATTGTAATTGTTATTTAGTCTGTTGGTAGGCCCGACCTTAATATAATAAACCCTTGAATCGTCTCTATTTCATTTTATTAGCCAAACCTACACCAATTATTAATTGTAATTTAAGTTGTTACTGTTTAACTTTTTTATTATATGCCCTGCAGTAGCTAAGCATTTTTAAAGTATTGGTATATTTCATGTTTTTATTTGATAAAACCTAATCAGTTTACATAACAGTGGGGCCCTATTTTTTAAATTGCCCCAGGGCTTTTAGTTACCTAGCTACGCCACTGATTATAGGGAACTGTCTGATGTTTAAGGGTCTTGAGCTACTCGGTGTAGTTAAGGCACTTTTAAAATATTATAGCGTCTGTAAGATATTTTGTTGACTACAACATATTTCAATTTAATGGTTTGGTCTGTGAATTATGAAAAGATGAAAAATATTTAAATGATAAATTTTGAATCATAAAATATAAATGTTTGTAGCAAAAAAACCCAGACTGAAGATTCTTTTTTTTTTTTTAAATCATCTTAAAAAAATCATCGCTCATCCAAATTTGAATAAGATTTTATTTTAATATGTTTTTAGGTGAAATGAACATTATGGTTTAACGATATGATCTGTTCTGATTGTTATTTAGCAATTTTCCATAGTTATAAGCTCTTTCTTGGTCAGAATTCTAGTATTTTTTGTGAAAATCGATAGAAATATTGTGTTTTGACAACTATATAT